AGGGGGATCTCAGCCTCGTCGCCAAACTCTGTGCACCAGGCGTCAGTCAAATAGGCGAAGCAACGGGACTGTGCATGACCAGGTGTCCCACAGTTCTCACCAGCTCGACGACCTGCGCGAATGACGTACGGGCAGCGACCCGGACTCGGAGATGGCCCACGCTGGTAAAGCCACTCATGAAGTTGCCAGGGCGTAAGGGTCGGACGACGCCGTAGCTGCATCTCGCCACCGCCAGACCCTCCGCACCAAACAGTGCCACAGAGAATGCTACTACGGCCGCCACCACTCTCTCTGCTGCCACCACCGCCATCACCACTCCCACTTGCAGGACAAAGGGAAGTCATGGCAGGCAAGCTAGGAGGAGCGCGGCCTCTAGGGCAGTACGGAGTGAAAGCAGTAGCACGAGTAGCAGCAGCAGGAGAAAGAGCAGTGTTATAGTCACAGCAGGCTCCAATGTGCCTAAAACGAAAGATAGAGTGCACAGTCGGATTTGTGCACAGCGGCTTCAAACGTTCATATCGTTCTGGTCACAGCTTTAAATGATTTGATTCAACTTGGATCTGAAGCGTCTTATTGTCGCCTACAATAGGCAATTTAGATCGCACGATTTGACCAAGTATTGACGACATAGCGTTGGTTTGAAGGAACGGCACTATGGCAGCCACCATAGTCTTAGAACACAAGATAGAAAGAGTTAGGAAGAGTTACGAGTTGGGAATGACTCCCAGCTCCTACAAACCCCAAGAGCCGAGGTACAGTGATGTGGAACAGTGCCACACTGTCCCCAACCACGAAGGGTCTCGAAACTACTCTTCACTAGGGCCTACACCAAGTGAAATGTTACACTACACAAAGTAATGTAACTATCTTCAATATCTTGAGGTGCACCCTTTTGGCGAGCTTCGAAATCACTCGAGGCTTGACACAAAGGCTCGGGCTCTTCATCACAAACTCATCCTTGAGTTCTTGATGGGTCTTCTGCACACACCTGCGACACGCCGAACGTTCGACACAGGACAAAATAAAAACCGCGCGCGAGACACAAACGACCGCGTAACACGCGTCTAGCGATATCTCGCTATTGACTCGACACACACACTCGACATCATGACTCAACATTCACACACAATTATAAGCATGAAATATGTATCATCCCATGCCCTCATACCATTCCATACACACACACATGCACGCACACGGACAACAAGCCGAGTGCAAACCGTAGGGTTGCACCAACAAGCAGCAGGGCGGCGTGCGGCCAGAGCATGTCGGCGTGCAGCCAGAGTAGGGTGGCGCGCGGCCACAGCAGGGCAGTAGCAGGCAGCAGCAGGTAGTAGCTCCTAGGGCAAAAGAACCTAGGGCCTTATATTTATATATATTTTTAATTATTATTTTATTTTTATTTCGGGTTTTGCAGGGCAGGGTGCTGGCGCAGGGCAGGGCACCAGCGCGCGTAGGTCAGGGCGGTGGCGCAGGGCAGAACACTGGCGCAGGCTGCAGTAGTGCGTGACGCGAGGGGCAGCAGAGCGCGACGCGACGGGCTGCCTTAGGGCGCATTGGCAGGCTGCAGCAGAGCACGATGCGCGAGGCAGCAGCGCGCGACTCGTGGGCTGCCTTAGGGCGCGACGCGCAGGGCCATAGCGCGGGCGTAGGGCAGGGCGCAGGCGCAGTGAAGGGCGCTGGCGCAGGGCAGGGCGCTGGCGCAGGGCAGGGCGCAGGCGTAGGGCAGGGCGCAGGCGCAGGGCAGGGCGCTGGCGCAGGGGAGTGGGCTGGCGCAGGGCAGGGCGCCGGCGCAGGGCAGGGCGCTGGCGCAGGGTGACGCCAGGCAGAGCAGGGCAGGGCGTGCGCGAGGCAGCGCAACGTGAGGCAAGGCAGGGCGTGCGCAGTGTAGCGCGACGTAAGGTAGTGGGGTACCACGGTAACCGCAGTCGGAAGCTAAGTATGGTGGGCCCGGAAAAAAAAAACGGTCCTACGGACCTACTGCTCTGAAACCATGTAAAGATAGCAAGCATGTATGGTTGCATGAATGAAGTGTGGGTGCAAGTACTAACCCTATATCGGGTTAGTGGGTACAAGTACAACTCAATTTACTGTCGGGTTGTAAAGACCTAGCTACTCATCAGCATAGCACCGACAGTGAAGACGCTTAAAATGAGGTATGCCTGGCCTCTAGTGGGCGTGCATGTAGAGTGGAGCCGCCTGCACTGGCTTGCCATTGGTGTGGAGCGATTTAGCACTGGGGGTGGCAATTACGATTCACAACCGGTGAATGCGGACAGCTCCTATTTTCTGAGGTGTTTCGACGGGGAACGAGGGAGTTCGTTTATCAATGCTCCGAACTGATTGCAGGTGGCTGGTGCTGCTGTCAATCGCATGGGGCTGAGCTCGACCAGCTAAGCAAAGTAAACCAGAGGACTGATCATAATGTATTGATGTTTTGTATTTGTGCTACAAGCATTGATGTTTTCTATCTATGCTGGAGCATTGATGTTTTTTATTTATGCTAAGCATTGATGTTCTGTCTTCATGCTACATTATATTCGCAAGCTGACGCACCACAAAGCAAACGGGTAGAAACCTTGATATGTACAAAATACCATATGTACACCAGCTCTACACAAGTGTTACGGGGGATTTACTGTTCCCCTTGAACAGTACTTTCCCAACCCATCCAACTCATCCTTATCCTTATCTTCTTGGATTCTCTAGTGCCACATGGCACTCTACTTTTCTAGCTTCACAATTCCTAGTCCCACAATCTACTTTCCAACCTTGTTTCTTGCATGCTACTTAAAACCTTGTTTGTACTTGGCATTATCAACCAATTCTCATTCAACTCTTCTTCAATTACTCAGTAACTTCTTCAGCTATTTCGCCAATAGTTCTTTCGCCAAAGTCTCATCCTTGACTTAGTCGGGCCTAACACTTGGTATCAGAGCCTTCGCGGGGAGCGACTTCCAACGAGCGACCGTCGACGACGAGACTACGACGTCATCGTCCCGCGGTGCCGACTTGCAGACTCGGAGTCGTCGAGCGAACAGGGACAAAACCATGCACGCTCTCCCCCACGACATGGGCAACACGCTTGCCGAACTCATGCGCCAACTTCAAGAGTTGACGTTGGAAAATCATCAGGTACGAGCTGAAATGCAACAGCTTCGTGAATTGGCTTCTAACCCCCATGGCCATGCCGCACCAACTCTTGCGCCCAACACGTCGACTGGTGCGGAAGCGCTGCCGGAACATCGAAGCGCGCTCAAGCCACAGAAACCCGAGTCGTTCGACCCAAGTTAACGCGACGCGAACGTGCGGACGTGGCTCTTCATGCTGAACAACTACTTCGCCGCGAGCGGGGTGCAAAAGGCGGACGCGCAGCAGCGGATCGAGTACGCTGTTACGCTGCTAAGGGGCCCGGCCTTGGAGTGGTGGCGCCAACTTACGCAGACTGCTGTTAGGAGGGCTCAGACGGACGGGCATCAACAGGGCGTGGGGCATGCAGCTGCAACTTCGAGCTTAGGTAGTCTAGCTTTGGGTGTTACCACGGTTCCGACCACATGGGAAGGATTTGAAGCGGCGCTGAAAAGTAGGTTCGATTTGGTGAACGCCTCCAAAGCTGCTAGGAAGCGTCTCCGTCATTTCCGACAGATAGGAAACGTCCAGGAGTACACACGACGGTTCTTGAGCATCTGCAACGAGATAGACGATATCACAGAAGCAGAGATGCACGATCGCTAGCTCGAGGGGCTGAAGCCGGACATAGCAGAAGTTATAGCGATTCATGGGTTGTCCACCTTCGAGTCAGTTGTCGCAGCAGCAGAACGCGTCGACGCAGTACGAAGCCGACGAGGTCGTGCCGATCGCGATAGGGGATACAACAGACCGATTAATGACGCTCGATCGAGGGACGGACCATCGCCCATGGAGATTGGTGCAGTTAACAGTGTCGGCTCACAGAAAACGGGATTTAGGGGGAACTGTCACTACTGCAAAAAGCCGAGACACATGAAGCGAGACTGTCCACAGCTTAAGGAGTGGCAGCAGGGAAACAAAAACCGCCAGTAGATAGCGGGTCGCTAGCTAGTGTGGAGGCTCCCGTACCCACCATGTCTACCAACGTAGAGGAGACGGCGTTGGAGCAGTCATCTACGGAGAACGAGGTAGACACTGTTGACCGACCAGTCGTGCTTCTAGGGAAGCTTTGCGGAGTTCCTGTTAAGATTCTTGTAGATAGCGGAGCTAGCCACTCAATCGTGTCTTTATCGTTAGTCAGCCGCCTCCATCTCGAAACAGATTCCATAGTCAACTTCAAGGATGCTCGCATGGTAGATGGGACGCCTCTCCACATAGGACCGATCATTCGCAAGTTGCGCGTAGTGCTAGGACCGATCACAGTTAGGCGTGATTTCGACTCTACGACGTTGGACGGATACGATTTTATCTTTGGGAGGGACTGGCTACGCACGGTTAGTACTCAATTCGATTGGGCTCAGGGAAGCTGCAGCGTCAAGGTAGACGGGGAGTTCCGGGAGCTGCCACTACCACTGCTGCTGCCACTGCTGCTGCCCCTGCTGCTGCCACTACTGCTGCCACTGCTGCTGCCACTGCTGCTGCCACTGCTGCTGCCACTGCTGCTGCCACTGCTGCTGCTGCTGCTGCTGCTGTTGTTGAACGCACTGGCGCCACCACCACCAGTGCTGCTGCTACTCCCATTCCTCCCGGCACACCCCCCTGCTGCCGCCATGCTTATCTCCCCCCCTGTTGCATTCCGCTGCGTCCCCGGCACCACCGCAAACCACGTCACATTCACCAACCCCACCCTCCCTGCTGCTGCTGCTGCTGCTGAAGCTGCACCAGAAGCGGCATCACTCGCGTTCGCCCCTTGTGAAGTAACAGGCATGAAATTGCTGTTGTTCGTCCGCCCCAAGTCCAGTGCATGCACAGCATAGTGTGCTGCCATGCCTGTGACCTCATCTGCTGCCAGCAGTATGAGCGTGTACTCTCTATATCCCGGTACCACCACCTGTGCCTCCAGCACCGAGATGAACAGCAGAGCGCTGCCCTGTGGGGGGAAGAGGGGCGGGGAGGGAGCAAGGAAGGGACAGGTGTAATGGGTCTGAGCATGTGCCTCAGCCAGTGGTACTGCACCTGATTATGGGGATGGACGGAAGACTGACCCCTGTAAAGGGCGGAGCCCAATCCCATCCCATCCCATCCCATCTCACCGCTCACTTGCCTCTCATTCGCACTCGCCACCGCCCCTCGCGCCACTCGCTGCAGGTCCACCCCTGACAGGTCAACGTAAGTCGACTCATCGTTGCCCCATGCAACGGCCGGCCGCTGCACCACGTGCCTCAGTGCAATCTCCTGCTCCTCCTCCGTGCTTGCGTGCTCCGACATGGTGAACGCGAGCACCCAACCTGCATGGTGAACGATCTCAACTCGTACTCCCCTCCCACTCTTCCTCCTCCTAATGTTTCCGCTGTGGCTTCTGCTGCTGCTGTTGCTGCTGATGTTGTTGCTGCTGTTGCTGCTGCTGTTGCTGCTGCTGTTGATGCTGCTGTTTCCGCTGTGGCTGCTACGGCTACTGCTGTTGCTGCCATTTCTGCTGCTGCTGATGCTGCTGCTGCTGCTGCTGCTGGCGCGGCTGGAGTGCCTACGGGTTGTGAAAGGGCAGCGGGAGTGAGGGCAGATGGCGCAGGGGCAGCAGGCGTGAGGGCGGATGGTGCAGGCATGGCACGGACCCATGAGACGAGGCGTCAAAGAAGGCGGTGCGGCCGCGCAGCAGGCTGAGTGCCGTCAACGAGAGCCGGTACTCCTCGAGGTTGCTCCAGACGCCGGCACTCCAGTTGCCTTCGCGCTCCACCCACACTAGATTGATCACTTGTAGGCTGTCGTTCTGGCGCGGGGGGGGGGGAGGGGGGAGGGGGGGATCGTGGGGAGTGGGGGAGTGCTGGTAATGAGAGGCGTTACTCCTTGGACTAGCAGCTTGTGCTCCAGTCACCAAACTGAGAGAGAGGCTGCAGCCTGCGCTCGAGTTGCCTGCGCTTCAGTTGCCAGCGCTCCAGTTGCCTGCGCTCCAGTTGCCAGCGCTCCACCCACACCAGCCTGATCGGTTGTAAGCTGTCGCTCTGGCGTGGGGAAGCAGGGAGAAGGGAAGGAGAGGAGACGAGATGGGGAGGAGGGGAGAGTGGGAGAACGGAAGAAAGGAGGAAAATGGAGGAGAAGGGTAAAGTTGAAAGGAGGAGGAGAATGAGACACTTAGCCAGCTTGGATTCGAGAGTGCTGTTCTTGAAACAATGATTTTCGCCTACCTCGCCGTGGCCTCGTTCTGCTGCGCCGCGGCGAGTCAGAGTATCACCTCGGCCGCGTTCTGTTATGCCACTATGTCGCGGTGTGTTGTTCGACTCAATGGGACTGTTAATCCAGTCATGATTTTGCTGCGTAACACGGTGAGTCACCTTGAGTTCACTCTTGAGTAAGAGTACAACACTCAGTCGACTGTGACTCACAGTCTCACATTCGCCACTGTGTGATGTGCCGCGGTGAGACAGCTTGAGTTCAACTTTTTAGTCGACAATTCAAGAGTAGAACAGTTAATCAACTGTGACTCACCTTGGCCGCGTTGTGCTGTGCCACAGCGATTCGAGCCATGGCGATTTTTTCCTCGCCACCCAGCCAGTCCAGGTCAAACTCTGTATTAGGGTTTGGAGGGGAACCGTCCGCCGCTGCCGCGAACAACGGTGGAAGACACGCATCATACGTGGATGCCACGTGACAGAGGATATGTCGGCACATCGGGAAAGTCTGACTCCGCCGTATGTCAACGCGACGGCTCGTCATGATCGCCGTTTTTTTCTCAAGTGACTCAGTAGCGACTAAGCTCTCACGTCGCGTGACGGATATGCGTCAGTACCGGAACGCGGTGTTGTTATTGCGACAGGGTTTTTGCGATTGGCGACTGAGTGGTTGCCACTAGTACTGGCGTCTGGTTCCGCAAGAATGCATTTCAAATACAAGCTTGTATTTGAAATACGTTCTTGCGGAATGTATTTCAAAGTTAAAATACTGTCTCTCTCATAGGAGAGAGGCTGAACGCATCTCGCTGAAGTTCTTGGCCTAATATGCGGTCTCGTGCCCTGAGAGGCATGGCGGGAGGGCGACGGTTTTCGCGGTGCGTGCCATTGCCAATGCAGAGTCAGCTGAGAACGAAAGAAATGAAGCGGAAAGGAGGTGAGGGAGAATGGTTTTGATGAGGACGAATGAGACGGGGCGAGTAGTGGGTCATCACAATTGGCAGCGCACGTGACGGTGGCGTGGTGAGATTAGGGCCAAGTTCGGCAGGAATTATAAAAACTGCCTACCAACTTCTGCGAAACCAAGGCCCAGTTTGGCAGGCATAAAAAAAACAGGCGAGGGGGTTGGGCTACAGTGATTTGACCACCTTGGAACCTTCCTTGATAAGCGCGTTAAAGGCTATCAAGGCTCGATATAAGCGGACTACGCCGAACCTGAGAATAATGGAATGCCAACCAAACACCCTTTTTTTTGCAGGCGTTTTCAACCGCCGGAATCTACACCCAAACGAATTTCTCTGGCAAAGTGCCCATTTTCTGATCCCCCGCACCATGCGGCCTCGAGGCCACGCACTATACGGGGTATCAGTGATTCGGGGCAATCAACAGTGACTGGTCAAATATGCCAACCAATCACATGATCACGCGAACCATCATGGCAACTGCTTACCATCTTCTACAAAACCCGAAATTTCGATCGATGCCATCAATCTACACCCAAATAATGCCAACCAAACACTCAGCCCCGTTTTTCCGAATGTGCACTGCAGCTACAATCTGATTTCGATGCAGTTTCTGGAAATGCCCAGGCGGCATTTTTTGGGGGCCCGTTAGAAATGCCCATTGTGGCCATAATGGCCATGATACCTACCAAACAGGGCCCAAAATTTCGATTGATGCCATCAATCTACACCGAAGAAATGCCAACCGAACAGTCAGCCCGTTTATTTGAAGGTGCACCCCAGCTACTGTCCGATTTTGAAGCTGTTTCCAAAAAATGCCCATGGGGCTTTTTTTGGGGGCCCGTTAAAAATGCCCATAATGGTCATAATGGCCATAATGGCTCTGTTCGAAAGGCTAACACTCTGCAAAGTGTTAGTGTTAGGTTAGTGTTAAGAGGAGGGTTCATCGCACCTTCTTGTCAGAATGTTATGTTTGTCTAGCCTGCAGTGGGGTACTCAATAGTGAGTACAGCCCAACTTAGGGTTTCCTATATGTACTCAACTGTTTGCTAGTGAACCTCTCTCTTCTTCATTCCTCATTCTCACATGCTATCAGAGCATCTACGGTCCTGGCCTGTGGGCCCACCTAACTGCTTCCGCTGCTACTCTGTGTTCGGCACGCCCCGTGGCGTGCCCCTCGCGCTACTATTAGCAGCCCCGTTGCCGCCCTTCCAGGCCCCTCGCGGCCCCTTCGCGGCCCTGTCGCCGCCCCTTTCGCGGCCCGTCGACGCCCTTCCAGGCCCCTCGCGGCCCCTTTGCGGCCCCGTTGCCGCCCCTATCGGCTCTGTTGACGCCGCCAGCGGCCCCGTTGCCGACCCTAGCGGCCCCGTCGCCGCTCCTATCGGCCCCGTTGCTGCCGCCAGCGGCCCTGTCGATGCCGCCAGCGGCCCTGTCGCCGACCCTAGCGGCCGTGTCGCCGCTCCTATCGGCCCCGTCGCCGCCACCAGTGGCCCCGTCGCCGACCCTAGCGGCCCCGTCGCCGCCGCCAGCGGCCCCGTCGCCGCCGCCAGCGGCCCCGTTGCCGCCTCCAGCGGCCCCGTCGCCGCCTCCAGTGGCCCCGTCGCCGCCACTTGCGGCCCGCGCCCTGCCCCGGCCATGCCCCGTCACCAGCCGCGGTGCACCGGGGGCACGTGCACCCCCCCCCCCCCCCCCCCCCCCCCCTTTTCCCGTCGCCTGTCGAGGTGACCTGAGGGGGCCGCGTGGGGGACGAGGGCGAGCGTCACCCCTTTTGCCGCCTGCTTTGACGCCCTGGGAGGCCGCGCGTCGCCCCCCCCCCCCCCCCGTAACCTCCCTACCCGCCATCCTGCCCTGCCCTGTGTTAGGGTTTGGGGGTGGCGAGTAGGGGGTGGCGGGTGTGTGGTCTCCCCTGCTCCTCCTCCTCCTCCTCTGTCTCCCACTGCTGCAGCTGCCGCTGAGGGGGGTGGATGTGTGGGAGCCTAGGGTTTAGGGTTTAAGGGGGGTGCTATGGGAGTGGAGCTAGGGTTTTGAGGGAGGTGGATGTGGATAAGCCTGCGGTTTAGGGTGTAAGGGGGGTGCTATGGGAGTGGAGCTAGGGTTTGAGCAGGCGGTGTGTGTCGAGAGGTGTGGGGCAGCTGGAGGAGGTTGGTTGAACGCAGGTTGTCGTCGTGTCGTCAGCAGCACCAGTAGTCCGGGGCGCTGCTCTGGTAGCCCAGTCGTAGCCAGCTGTGTCAGTCGCCCGTGGGTCCGTTGCTGGTCTGCCGCTAGTCTTAGCCGCGGAGCCAGTTACTCTAGTAGTCCGGAGCGCTGTTCCGGTAGCCGTTGTGCCAGTGTGACTCCTGTTGCCCGTGTGTCTGCAGCTTCAGCCGTCGCCTCCTATCTCCTCTCCTCTTACAGTCTCGCCTCCTCCTCCTCACTTGCCCTTTGTGAATGACTCTAGCTTTGCTCGCTATTGTGAACTCCTGCTCTATGCCTGCTTGCTCATTGTGCTGATTACACCCCACTTTGGCTATGGGGGTGTGTCAGAATGTTATGTTTGTCTAGCCTGCAGTGGTACTCAATAGTGAGTGCAGCCCAACTTAGGGTTTCCTATATGTACTCAGCTGCTTGCTAGTGAACCTCTATCTTCTTCATTCCTCATTTCCTCACATTTCTCCGAGCTGATTGCACGCTGAAGCTTCGTGAGTAGGGGCCAGAAGGAGCGGGGCCCACTAAGCGAAGCTGCCCGCCCCCTTCAACCTGCCTTTAGGCGAGCACAGTAGAATAGTCTGGGCCGCTTTCCAAAGGGGTCTGGGTAACATCGCCGGGAAAAAAAAGGCCTTCTCCACAAATCGCTCGCCTCACAATGATTTTTCCGCCCAAACGGGTTCACAAGGACCCATTTCAGAGTCCAGGGAGTGGGCGTTCTCCTCACTGCAAACACTTGGCGAGCCCTTTGGCAAACCCCAATTTTGGGGTCGAGGGATAGGCTAGGCGAGGGCTAGACCTTTGCCAGTGCGGGAAGGCTCGCGGTCCTTTCTGGAGGGCGAAGGGTTCAATTATCGGGTGCGTTCGACAGGCTAACACTCTGCCAACAGGTTAGCGGGGGTTAAAGCCCTAATTGCGCATTTTACGGGCTGACCGTGGGAAGAAATGTGAAAATGAA